AGAGGACAAAGCTCCCTACGGGGATAACTAAAGTGCACATTTATTCTATGCATTTAGTCCAAGATTCCCCTGAGCGAAAGAGAAGGTTTTTCCTGAACGATACAGGACAAAGCTCCACATGTTTCTCTGGAGGTGTAAAAACGGACCAAAGCACAATGGAACAAGGATGGATGATTCTGGAGCCTCCTGGAGCACAGTGATCCTGAAGTGTCTCCTCACCCACAGCCCTGACTCACAGCCACAGCTCGTCTCCTCACGTGCCTCTCATTGATCCCAAGCGTCAGTCTCAGAACAGAAAATGCACAACGGTGTGAAGCGGAGGAGAAACTGAGCAGTCGATTCACAAAGATCGATAAGACTGCTTCGAAACTGACGTGTTATCGCCATTGTTCAGTCATGGATCACTGCTGTACATCCTGGACTGAACTCTAACCCTCAACCCTAACCACAGTGAACCCTAGACCAGGGGTGTTCAAACTTTTTAGTAAAACGGTCACTTTAGGTTCTCCAAATTTGTCCAGGGGCTGGCAGCGTGGATTGTAAAACTGTTTTGACTGAATTTGGGCTGATCTGGGCTTTGTATGTTTATTCACATGCTACATTAGCGTCATAGCGAGAAAAGAAAGAAAAAAAAAAAGTCCACATCAGAGGGCCACATTTGCTGTCATCACATCTGCTCTGATTGGATGAGACAGACAGATATTCATGAAATTATAAAAACAAAGTCGGTTTTAATCAAAAATACTACATTTTCATGTCATTTTTGCTCTGTTTGAGTCCGTGTGAACCAGAAAACGATTAATCGATTACTAAAATAGTTGTCGACTATTTCAATAATCGATTAGTCGTCGATTAATCGATTAGTTGTTTCAGCCCTAGTTTATTCATTTGCTACATTAGCGTCATAGCGAGAAGAAAAAAAATAGTCCACATCAGAGGGCCACATTTGAAGCCCTAGCGCTAACGTGAAGCCGTGAAAGTCCCCACTGTGGAATGAATAAAGGTTCGCTTATCAATCATTTTACGATCTCAAAAAGGTGGCCATTGAGCAGGAATATGCAAATATGTGACAATTCCACAGTATCATATTATTGTGATTCTTAACATATTGTGATGCACCAAGTATTGGGATTCAATTCTGTGATATAATGCGATTCATGTCCCGTATATTATTGAAAGACTTTAAAAACATGGAGGATAATTAGACTAAACTCAAATGTCACACCCATCCATTTTCTACCCCTAAATCCATTTCTGGGTCAGGATTCAGATGCAACTGAAGTCACATAGCACCAGTCACATTATCGTTTTTTTATTTTTAAGTATAGAGTTGTGTTATCCATATTCATCTCCACCCAGCGGCTCCTCCACCTCTGCTGCTGTGACCTAAAGCACTGTTGCATTTTAATACTATTGTTTTCTACTTTTAGAATGATCTATTTATGGATGGATGTGTTTCTGCTGCTACTGGACACCTGAATTACTCCCTACGGGGATCAATAAAGTAAGTAAGTAAGGTTTATTTATATAGCGCATTTTTAAAAGGTCAGACCCAAAGCGCTTTACAAAGTTCAGAGTCAGATATTGTTCCAATCCTTCCACACACGGTGACGACAGAAGCGAGTCCAGAACACACTGGACCATCAAAGCCTCTGACCCAACACCATCCATTCACTCTCTCATTTACATTCAGACCAAATATGCATGTTTTTAATGGTAAGGGAAACCGGAGCACCTGGAGGAAACCTACGCAGGCACTGAGAGAACATGCCGGCTGTATCTATCTATACATAATATCTTGTGGGATGATAAAGGATCTCTTCATCTGAATATTCTCCGGTCTTTCAGAACCGCTTTTCCCCAAGACTTTTCAGGGCCACAGAGAGAACGTTCATGTTTTTAAGACCGGGCTCTGAAAACTTTCTACTGATAAGTATTGATTTGACTGAAATTTACCCATTCTATTAATTATTTCTCTCTGCTCTGGGTCCTGTGTCCTCAAATAAAGTACTGGATATCCTGTCCCCATGTCCTCCTCTTCTTTTCCAATACATTCTCATCCAGGCATTATGTAACGACGCCAACAAACGCATTCGCACCAACTCATGTTCTTTTAAAAACAATGCATTCTCTTTGTCTGCCTTTCGTCGCCTCATATCGAATACAAACCAGGCCGTAGTCTAGAGTAAAACTGGCTTTATTCTTCATTTGTATGATGCAAACAAGAATATAAAGACCTGGATCATTACATGTCTGACTTCAGCTTGTTTCCATGACAATGTTGATTTTTTCACTCATCGGCCTTAAACCTTTCCTCTGATCTTTCTGCAGTAACTGATTTGGAAGGAGTGAAGCAGATGCAGCCGTGGGAGCTACAGAACGTCTCCTGAACACTGGACACAGGACTTTTCTCTGATGCAACAGAACATTACAGAGAAATAACAAATAATTAAAACGGCTAAAAATAAGAGCATCCTGGACACAATCCGTTGTTTGGTGCGAGAAGAAAATCTCACTTGTGCAGCGACCATCAGGACGGGCAGTCGGAGAAAAGGATACTTCAAAACTCTATTATTACTGCTTTAAAAACTACATCAGACTAGAATTGCGAGGATTTCAACTTTTGAAATTCCGCAACTGCTGCAGTATTAATCTGATCCCATTGGTCACATTAGTCCAGTCCTCAGGTCTCTGCGCTGAGAACTGGAGAATAGACTAAAGCGGTTCTGGATTCAAGGGATGCACTGATATTACTTTTTTCAAAACCGGTAAGAATAGCTTTAAGCTGGACTACCTCACTTTATTTTTGTATTCATTTGGGAAATTCAATCCAAATCCATGCAGTGCATTGGGGATATACGTAGGACAGGTTTGTACCGGAGTGTAATTTTCGTGCAACGCGGAAGAGAATTTATTTCGGGACCAGATTTTGACCAATCACAGCGGACCACCAGCCCCCACTTTCTAGAGAAAAGCTACAGGTCTGTGGTTAGCACAGACAGCTGAGAAAGAGCATCATGGCGGAGGGGAACCTGAAACAACAGCACATGAGCACAGGCTGAGGGGGGGGGGGGTAGTGGGGGGGCAATAGCTTTAGTGCGGGGAGGGGGGCAGAAGGAGCGAGACCAGCGCTCACATTTGAAACGCTGCTTCGAAATGTAGTTAGTCCAGCTGCGAGTACTTAGATACAGAGTACCAATACGATTACTGCATTGTGTTATTCCTGGGAATACATAAAACTAAACTAACTAAAAGTTTCGCTGGTGTTATGCGTGTTTGTTTTGGACCCACCACGTGACTGATCCTAGATTTGAACCAACAACCTTTTGGGTCAATGGACAAACCCTCGAACCAAGCCCCTGCAAACATGATGAACGCAGGACACTATTTACTACAGACCTAGTTTAAAAGTGATGACAACATGTATCAAAGTTACATAATGTTGTTTCAAGTATTAATACACCTCAAAGACTCGACTCCTTCAGATCAGAGGCAGACGACAGCAGCTCAAATCTATTTTAGTCCAGAAAAGTACACAAGCATTGGGAGAACGAGCAAACTCACCCAAATCTCATGATGTTACAGCAGAGATTTTGTGCCTTTGGACAATACTGTGAAATATAATATATAAGAAAATAATGGGGTTTAATGGGGTCCGCTCTGGTCCCCTTTAACCTTTTAGTCCTGGTTCAATTCAGTACATTTTTTTTTCCTTAAGGTGGAATTTTTTCTCTGCATTTGACCCATCCTTAATCACCACCTGGGTCTCTGTCAGGAGCAGTGGAGTACAGCACCCAGGGACCCATCTCCAGACGTTGATGTTCTGCTTGGTCAGAAGCTGGAGGCTGTTACATACTGTACATTGAAACCAGAGCACCTGGAGGAAACCTATGCAGGCACGGGGAGAACACGCAAACCCAACTCAGAAAGACCCTGTGGAAAACGGGATCCAATACCGGGATCGTCTTTGCTGAGAAGCGAGAAGAAGAGATAGGCCAGAGAGAGCTGCTGGAAGCCATGAGTACCAAGGAATTTTCACTGGTTTGTGGAGTGAAGGTTGCTAGGATACGGTACCAGATATAAGGTGCAATGGAAACACAAATGGGAAGAGCACAGAGCCAGTACTGCAAAAAGTGATGAAAACTTAATCAAAATATGTCTTTATCTGAGCACAATCAGACTGAGCCTTAAAACAAGATTTATCGATGGGAAAATGCAAAATGATCTTGTTTGAAAAAGATACAGAAATGTCTCCCTTGGAAAGTAAAGCAACCGTTCTTGAAATAACACTAAATCTGAGTGCATTCTGACAGTTAAAACAAGAATCTCCAATGGGACAAAGCCATTAAGTTAAAAAAAACACATTTTCTACTTATTTCTTTGCAGTGTGGGCTTTATGTGTATCAAGAAGTGCCAATACTGTGCATTTTAAGCGTCATAGTCAGGACTGGCCGAGATGTTAGATGTGAGATTAACACATGTTTAAAGATCTCAGCCTTGGATCTGGAAGAAACAAAACAACTAATAAATAAATAGAGGCAGAATTATGAAAGAGAAGGAGGTGGCTGTTTATTTGACCCACGTGTAACCTTTGACCTCTCTCCATTGCGTTTGCGTTGAATACTCTGATAAATATCCCCATTCCCAGCGTTATCCCAGCTCGTCTCTCCTCCTCAGCCTCCGACACTGAAGCATGTGCTGTTTGGGGGATGCTCCTTTAGCTGTCATCCCTGCAGCGGCTAACGTTAGCATGCTAGCGCTAACAGGTAGCCTCCAAAAACGCAATGGAAATCACCCACGATTAGCATCTAAAAACACACGACTGCGGGCTGGAGGACGTGACAACGCCGTGGCTTGGTGTGCGTGTGTGCGTTAAGGTCAGCCCAGCCTTCACGTTGTGTTAGCAGCGAGGAGGCTAAATGAATGAATGGGGGTTGGGTTAGCATCCTGCAGCATCCCTCTCCTGTGTCTTGCTAGCATCGTGCACGGAGGGGACTGACCTGGTTGTAGTGCACCGTGAGAGGCTTCAGGTACTCGGAGTCTGTGCAGGGGACCACCTCGATGTTGTTGATTTCCTCCATGATCGGGGGCTGTGCAGTGGGCAGATAGCGGGGGATCGGTCGGAGCACACGGAGGCTGCTGCTGCTGCTGCTGTCACCGCTCTGACAGTGAAGGAATGTGTACGGAAGCCCAGGGAGGACAAGAGAGACAAGAGATACAGCGGCGAGAGTGAGAGTGAGAGGAGGGGATTGATATGAGGATGGAGATAGGGCTGGGAACTGGCAACGATGGGGCGATCTGATAGTATTGGCGGCAGTAGCTCAGTTGGTAGAGCTTTGGCCTTTGAGCCAGAAGGTTGTGGGTTCGAGCCCCGCTCAAGACCTTCACCCTCGACTCCCACTGTCTGCTGTCGTTGTGTCCTTGGGCAAGACACTAAACCTCTGGGAACACCAGCCACAGTGGGGTGGCTGCGGCTGTAAAGTGCCAAACTGCTGTTGTGTCCTTAGGCAAGACACTTCACCCCCATTGCCTAGAATGAGTCTGGGGTGTGTGTGAATGGTTGTCAGTGTGCCCCAGGGCAGCTGTGGCTACAGTAGTAATTTATCACCACCGTGTTTGGAGTGAATGAATAATGACACATGTGAAGCGTATTTGAGTGTCCAGAAAAGCGCTATAGAAAACCGATGCTTTTTTTTTTTTGTTTTTTTTTTTTTTGTGATATTTGGGCAACAATTCAGTATTATTGTGATTCTTAACATATCGTGATACAGAAGGTATTGTGATTTTGATTCTGTGATAAATTCTGATTCATGTCCCTCATATTATTCAAAGACTTTACAAACAAACTGAATATTTGTAAAATGTGTTTCTTGTGCAGGTTTTGAAATAAATAATTCAATTCATTCAACATGGAGGAGCATAAGAATCACTGAGGAGCGAAATGATCCTTAAACATTCTGGACACAGGACCTTATTACAGAGACAAGACAACACTATTCTCTCTCACATGAATTATGAGCTCATCATTTAAGTGAAATTATTCAGAGAGAGAGCGATACCAAGGGCTCAGAGAGGAGCTGGGGCCTGGAGGATGAAGGAGACAGAAGTGCCCGTGGTGATGGGGCACTCGGGGCAGTGACCCTGAAGCTGGAGGACGTTACAGCAGATCCTGGAACAACCTTGGAAATCTCGGTCCAGAAATGTGCAGTGCAGGAACAGCAAAGATACTGCGAGGACCCGAGCTTAGAGAGGGATAACCGCCCGCGAGAGGTGTGTGTTTGTATATTTCAGTTATTAGAAGTTTGTCCCATATTGAAAAAGGTTCAAACTAAAGTTGAGCTGCCACTCTTAAAACAAACACAAAGATAACATTGGATTATTATTCTCACATCAAGTTAAATGGTAACCACATGGAAACGAGTCCGGCACACCACTCTGTACCCACGAGACTTTCACAATATCACATTTTTTTAAGGTTTTATTTTGCATAAATAAATGTTTGGTAGATGCAAGATACCCCACTTTACTCACTATTCTATTATTGACTGTTTCTTAAAACCCGAGCGGCTACAGAACATCTCAATGTTTCTGAGAGACTGAGAGATTTCGAGTCTTAGAATTTGTCCATTTTCTAATCGTGTGGTTATTTTTGGGCTCGTGTTGTACTTATAAACACTTGAAAGAGATTTTGTGGCATTTTCAACGTCAACAAAAGCTCTTCCTGCCTTTACTTAAACCAGCACAATGCTTTTCCTGCTGCGGCCGACAATATCCGCTTCCAATCTCCAATGTTGGATTTCTACACTGCAAAAAGTGATACGAGGTCATTTTTGCCTGAATCGAGTGTTTTTTATCTTACTTTGAGCACATTCTGACTGTGGTAAACAAGGTTTGCAAATAGGACAAAGACATTTAGTCTTATTTTTTAAGGAGGTCAGAATGTGCTCGAATCAAGATACATTTAGTCAAATTTTAGATTTTTTACATCACTCTTTGCAGTGTAGAGAGACAGAGAGACCAGTGAGAGAGACCAGAGAGACACCAGAGAGAGACCAGAGAGAGACCAGAGATTCCAGAGAGAGACCAGAGAAAGACCAGAGAGAGACCAGAGAGAGACCAGAGAGAGACCAGAGAGTAGTAGTAAGTAGTAGTAGTAAGTAATCTTTATTTATATACCGCCTTTTCACTGCACATCGGAGTCTCAAAGCGGTTTACAATTGTTATTTTTTGGGAGTGGGGGGGCCAGTACAGGAGGCACATGCCAGACCTATTGTACATATCTTTAGTGGTAGGGGAAACCGGAGCACCCGGAGGAAACCTACGCAGACACAGGGAGAACATGCAAACTCCACTCAGAAAGGCCCTGGTCCAACCGGGATTTGAACCCAGGACCTTCTTGCTGAGAGGCGAGAGTGCTATCCACTCAGCCACCGTGCCGCCCAGAGAGACCGAGATGGTGATATGTGGAACTATGTTCCACAGGACTTACAGTGAAATGACCTCTGAGTCTGAACTAAGACTTTCAACAGTTTCCACGGTTACAAGGAGAGATCTTTCAGATGCACCGCCCCCGCTTTAAACTATGGACTCTTGAGACCAATGAGACTTATTTTGCGTCACTTTTAGCTGCTTTAGTCTTATTTCAGCAGCTGTTGCTTTTTTCTCATTCCAAGGGAGACATTTTTTGTATCTTTTAAAAACAAAGATTATTACCAGACCAGAGACAGAGAGAGACCAGAAAGAGAGAGACCAGAGGGAGACCAGAGGGAGACCAGAGGGAGACCAGAGAGAGACCAGAGAGAGAGACCAAAGAAAGACCAGAGAGAGAGACCAGAGAGAGACCAGAAAGAGACCATAGAGAGAGACCTGAGAAAGACCAGAGAGCCCACGGCGGCACAGTGGCTGAGTGGATAGCACTCTTGCCTCTCAGCAAGAAGGTCCTGGGTTCGAATCCCGGTCGGACCAGGGCTTTTCTGAGTGGAGTTTGCATGTTCTCCCCATGTCTGCGTAGGTTTTCTCCGGGTACTCCAGTTTCCCCTACCACTAAAAACATGTACAATAGTTCTGGCATGTGCCTCATGTACTGGCCCCGCTCCCATCTCTGTGTGGAGTGAGAGACAAATGCCCAAAAAATAACAATTGTAAACCGCTTTGAGACTCAGATCTGCAGTGAAAAGGCGGTATATAAATAAAGATTACTACTACTACCAGAGACCTGAGAGAGAGACCATAAAGAGAGAGAGACCAGATAGAAAGAGAGAGAGAGAGAGACCAGATAGAAAGAGAGAGAGAGGCCAAGATAACTTTGCTCATTGTTCCATTGACAAATCCTGTTTTAACCAATTCACGTCTGATACATTTAACCAAATTTTAGCATTTTTAAAACTTATTTCTCGTCAGTTTTTGCAGCGTATGTGTTGGATGGTCTCGGGCCCCGATCACCTGCTGAATGTCACTACGATAAGAAAGTCCTACGGGTCTTCACTCTCGCTGACGAATGAGTAAAAAGAGGGCGTGGGTGGCGTTCTCACCCGCGTCGCCTTGAATGGGTGAGGCTCCATGATGTCACGTCACATCAATAACACACTCATAATGGAGAACAATCCGCACGGCTACAATCTCCACGCCGCTTGCTTCCTCCTGCAAATGAGCCCAAGGACTTCTGTGAGCTGATTTACATCTAACTAAATAGAGGCGTAGGAGACCAAAAACAATGCATGGAACCCGCCAGAGGAACAGGAGAGACCCAGACCGAGGCCTGGCGGAGCGGACCGGCCCAGCTGCACCCTGTGATAAGGCACCAGGGAGGGAGCACAAAGAACCAGGGGAGAGGCCTCACGTTGTTCCACATGGATCACAACACAGAAAAAAAGTGTAAAAATGGAAGCAAGTGGTCATTCGCGGCTTCATTGTGATGAGTGTAAGCCAACAATGGGATTAATGCTGCAAATATGAGGTAATAGTTGCTTGAATTTTGTATTTGTTGTCTTAATGAGTACATTCTGACTGTTTCTTCATGTTCTTATTCCAAAAGAGGTCGTTTTGCTCATTGTCCCATTGGTAAATCTTGTTTTAAAGGAATAGTTCACCGTTTTTACATACTGACATATGTTCTTACCTTACCTTAGACTAGTTAATACGTACCTGTCTGGTCTTAGTCCGTGCGCTCTGTCATGCAAACGGAGCAAAAACGGGAGCACAAACGCAGCCTCCTCTGTATACTGTGTAGGACCAAAAGGTAGCTCCCGCTAGAAGCTACCAAACTCTTCCAAGTGTTCCCTATTAAATGTATATAGTTACGTGACGTGTTACACTGCAAAGTATAGTAACACAGAAATGTAACAGTCGATTTTCTCAGCGGATAAAACGGGTACTATATTGTGAGGCGTAGTAATCTGAGGAGCGCTACGTCCGCGCACTAACTTCTCTCCGGAGACTTCTCTCTCGCTCACTTCCGTCAATAGAAGCAGCGTGACTTGTAATACACACAGTAGCAGCGAGAGAGAAGTCTCCGGAGAGAAGTTAGTGCGCGGGCGTAGCGCTCCTCAGATTACTACGCCTCACAATATAGTACCCGTTTTATCCGCTGAGAAAATCGACTGTTACATTTCTGTGTTACTATACTTTGCAGTGTAACACGTCACGTAACTATATACATTTAATAGGGAACACTTGGAAGAGTTTGGTAGCTTCTAGCGGGAGCTACCTTTTGGTCCTACACAGTATACAGAGGAGGCTGCGTTTGTGCTCCCGTTTTTGCTCCGTTTGCATGACAGAGCGCACGGACTAAGACCAGACAGGTACGTATTAACTAGTCTAAGGTAAGGTAAGAACATATGTCAGTATGTAAAAACGGTGAACTATTCCTTTAAGGTTCAGTCAAAATGTGCTCAAATTAAAGATGCAGTCAGTGATTTTTCCAGACGCATTTTTTTTTATATTGTGGGAAAACGTCCGTAAACACTAAAAGTATCAAGGGATCATGTGTTTTCAAATAGTAATGGAATTGACCAAAAATTAATAAGAAATATTTTGGAGCGGACAGATAAAAATAAACCAATGGGATGAGTTTACCCCCTTCACCCTCTTCCTGTTTCTCGCGAGTGCTCTTGAATTATCAAATTTTCTAAAACCTTAAATGGCTGAACAGAAAATGCCAATTTAACATTTGCCGCTCACTCTCCCTGTTGTGACAAAGAAAAGAAAATGCTGAATGTTTGGTTTGGTGGAGAGGGAGGGGAGGGGGGAGTGGTTTCCAGTTGGTGCTATGGCTAAGCTAACAACATTGCTAACTGCATCTTTAAGATACATTTAGCAATTTGAGCATTTTTTGACTTCATTTTCATCTTAAACCTGATGCGTTCGTGAAATCAGACCTGGTGAGTCTCCTCTGCGCGGCCTCAGGATAAAGCTCGCCGTAAAGTGCCTCTAAACCCTGTTATCAGCAGCGGGCGGCTCCAGGGGGCGCCCCGTCTGCGATAATCCTCTCCTTCCAAGAAGATGTGGGCGCCGCGCTCTCCCCGTCAGCGCTCATTACCGTGAGCACAGTCCTGATGCAGACCAGGTCCTCACACCGGGCTCCGAGAGGGTCTGGAGCCCGGACCCACCTCCGGAAAGTTCTGAGGCCAAAGGGTCAAGCTGACAACGTATCTCTGTTAATACTGAGGATGAGACGACTGTGGAAGTGGACGTACTGTAGAGTCATGGCTTTAGATTGGATACAAACATGGACTGTATACTTGTAACCGGGTGGTTCTGCTAGTTCTTTAGTTTTCGAACCAAAAACCATAAAAGGAAACAGGTCGGTGATTAATATGAGGCATAATTTCGTTCAACACATTTATTTTTGCAGTTTTTTTCTTTGAGGACAGGAGAACGAATAAAATGTTACATTTCACATTCTCATTAAAACAAGGGTAGACAAGGCAGCCGCGCTCCAACGCGCTCCGAACCCGCCTTCCCCAGCTACATCCCGGCTACCGAACCGGGGCGATGACGCTCGGTGAGGGGCCATGGCTGGTCATCCCGTCCCCGAGTCGCGGCCAGACTGGAGACACACGCGGACCTGGAGCTTCATCGTGGGGCACAGCCACACCACGGCCTACATTTAAAAAGCGTTTGCTAAAATTATTTTCACACAACATTTACCTAGGAGCCAACGAATGACAGGGAACGAGGCAACAGCACCGGCAGGACCAGGAAGTAAGGCAAGCGGCAGAGTACAGGGCATAGACGCTTTTATACCAAGCTACCGCCCCCTACTGGCTGGTCCACCAAGGCACTGCTCAAAACCCCACATTGTCACATACAGAAGAACAATGCTAACATGCTAGCACAACACGCTCGGCTAGCTCATTGAAGTCCAACAGGGAAGTGCTCAAGAAGTTTTGATTCCTCTAGTTCAATAACCATTCAGTCACACTCACCATATTCTCACATTTTCAGGAAGACTGCTCCATATTTTAGCGGCATAAATCTGTAACGCTGCCTACCTGTGTTTAGTCCTGACTCCGGGACCAGCAGGAGACCAGTCCCTGTGCTCCTCATATGGCCCTAACATGTCACAGATGTACGTAGAAAGACTAGTCACAAGCAGAGCTGCTCTATTCTCTGAGCCACAGGAAGCAGAGACCTGAGACCAGGACTAATGTGATGGTACTTCCTGGTTCTAGTCTGGACTCGAGCTGCAGAGTTTTGAATGCACTCCAGCTGTTTCTGAGCTCACATTTAGAGTTCATATAACTGCTAAAAACCTGGTGTTCTTGAACTTACACTGCAAAAAGTGATGAAAAATTGCAAAAATTTGGCTAAATGTTATTTTGAGCACATCTTGACATAACAATATTTTCCAAAGGGACAAGCTGAATCATCCTGTGTCTCCCTTGGAATGAGATAATAAAGAAAAAGTTCTTGAAATCTTGAGAATCTTGTTTTAACGCAGTCACAGTGTATTCAAATTTAGATACAAACAACTCAATTCAAGCAATTTTCAGACATATTTCATCATTTTTTTGCAGTGTGTAGCTTAGTTTATCAGGTTCAGAGCAAACCGGGATCAGGCCGTGATCTGGAGAAAGCACTTAAATACTTTGTTCTGTTTGCGGGCTCTGGACATGGCGTCGCCGCTCACCTTGTCCACCAGACGCACCTAAATCCTCTGCGGCTGCGAGGCTTGTTAAAATAGCTCTGGGCGTCGGCGGGTCATGTGATAAGAGCCCAGGGTCATGTGACAGCGACGACCACGAGGCGACAGAGAGGGGCGCGGGGCACTGACACCGCGTTGCTATGGTTACGGCCATACGTTTGGGAACAGGCCGAGTCTAAATATACCAACAGGAGATATTACATGATAAAGAATGTATTTACAAAAGAGAAAAACCCTGTGCTCTGGGTTTAAGACCACAGAGAAGGCCCTGTGCTCTGGGTTTAAGACCACAGAGAAGGCCCTGTGCTCTGGGTTTAAGACCACAGAGAAGGCCCTGTGCTCTGGGTTTAAGACCACAGAGAAGGCCCTGTGCTCTGGGTTTAAGACCACAGAGAAGGCCCTGTGCTCTGGGTTTAAGACAACAGAGAAGGCCCTGTGCTCTGGGTTTAAGACCACAGAGAAGGCCCTGTGCTCTGGGTTTAAGTCCACAGAGAAGGCCCTGTGCTCTGGGTTTAAGACCACAGAGAAGGCCCTGTGCTCTGAGTTTAAGACCACAGAGAAGGCCCTGTGCTCTGGGTTTAAGACCACAGAGAAGGCCCTGTGCTCTGGGTTTAAGACCACAGAGAAGGCCCTGTGCTCTGGGTTTAAGACCACAGAGAAGGCCCTGTGCTCTGGGTTTAAGACCAAGAGAAGGCCCTGTGCTCTGGTTTAAGACCACAGAGAAGGCCCTGTGCTCTGGGTTTAAGACCACAAGAGAAGGCCCTGTGCTCTGGGTTTAAGACCACAGAGAAGGCCCTGTGCTCTGGGTTTAAGACCACAGAGAAGGCCCTGTGCTCTGGGTTTAAGACCACAGAGAAGGCCCTGTGCTCTGGGTTTAAGACCACAGAGAAGGCCCTGTGCGCCCTGGAGGCCTGTGCTCTGGGTTTAAGACCACAGAGAAGGCCCTGTGCTCTGGGTTTAAGACCACAGAGAAGGCCCTGTGCTCTGGGTTTAAGACCACAGAGAAGGCCCTGTGCTCTGGGTTTAAGACCACAGAGAAGGCCCTGTGCTCTGGGTTTAAGACCACAGAGAAGGCCCTGTGCTCTGGGTTTAAGACCACAGAGAAGGCCCCTGTGCTCTGGTTTAAGACCACAGAGAAGGCCCTGTGCTCTGGGTTTAAGACCACAGAGAAGGCCCTGTGCTCTGGGTTTAAGACCACAGAGAAGGCCCTGTGCTCTGGGTTTAAGACCACAGAGAAGGCCCTGTGCTCTGGGTTTAAGTCCACAGAGAAGGCCCTGTGCTCTGGGTTTAAGACCACAGAAAAGGCCCTGTGCTCTGGGTTTAAGACCACAGAGAAGGCCCTGTGCTCTGGGTTTAAGACCACAGAGAAGGCCCTGTGCTCTGGGTTTAAGACCACAGAGAAGGCCCTGTGCTCTGGGTTTAAGACCACAGAGAAGGCCCTGTGCTCTGGGTTTAAGACCAAGAGAAGGCCCTGTGCTCTGGGTTTAAGACACAGAGAAGGCCCTGTGCTCTGGGTTTAAGACCACAGAGAGAAGGCCCTGTGCTCTGGGTTTAAGACCACAGAGAAGGCCCTGTGCTCTGGGTTTAAGACCACAGAGAAGGCCCTGTGCTCTGGGTTTAAGACCAAGAGAAGGCCCTGTGATCTGGGTTTAAGTCCACAGAGAAGGCCCTGTGCTCTGGGTTTAAGTCCACAGAGAAGGCCCTGTGCTCTGGGTTTAAGACCACAGAGAAGGCCCTGTGCTCTGGGTTTAAGACCACAGAGAAGGCCCTGTGCTCTGGGTTTAAGACCACAGAGAAGGCCCTGTGCTCTGGGTTTAAGACCACAGAGAAGGCCCTGTGCTCTGGGTTTAAGACCACAGAGAAGGCCCTGTGCTCTGGGTTTAAGACCACAGAGAAGGCCCTGTGCTCTGGGTTTAAGTCCACAGAGAAGGCCCTGTGCTCTGGGTTTAAGACCACAGAGAAGGCCCTGTGCTCTGAGTTTAAGACCACAGAGAAGGCCCTGTGCTCTGGGTTTAAGACCACAGAGAAGGCCCTGTGCTCTGGGTTTAAGACCACAGAGAAGGCCCTGTGCTCTGGGTTTAAGACCACAGAGAAGGCCCTGTGCTCTGGGTTTAAGACCAAAGAGAAGGCCCTGTGCTCTGGGTTTAAGACAACAGAGAAGGCCCTGTGCTCTGGGTTTAAGACCACAGAGAGAAGGCCCTGTGCTCTGGGTTTAAGACCACAGAGAAGGCCCTGTGCTCTGGGTTTAAGACCACAGAGAAGGCCCTGTGCTCTGGGTTTAAGACCAAAGAGAAGGCCCTGTGATCTGGGTTTAAGTCCACAGAGAAGGCCCTGTGCTCTGGGTTTAAGTCCACAGAGAAGGCCCTGTGCTCTGGGTTTAAGACCACAGAGAAGGCCCTGTGCTCTGGGTTTAAGACCACAGAGAAGGCCCTGTGCTCTGGGTTTAAGCTAACAAATGATAAAGAAATGGGCTCCTGCTATCTTGTGTTCAAATCTGCTTCTTCTGCATTACGGCTAACACTACGGTGGCCTGTGAGCTGTACCCACACTATAAACCCACACTATGATGAAATAATATGTAATAATCAAACAAATCACAAAAAAAATCACCTTTCTTGACATTCTTTTTCATTGTTCTGGCTTCTAACGTGGACAGTGAATGAGGAGCGGTCTCTTCGATGCCAGTCCTTGAGTCGCCGGCATCTGAACGTGTGAAGTCTCCTGTTCTCCGCACGTCTCTCCCATATTTATAGTAAAGCTATTGTTGTGATCCAGAGAGTGACGGCCCCAGGATGTGGTTCTCACAGCACAGAGGTCAGACTCTGGGCACCGCACTGGGGGAAAAACCTCAGTGACTCAGTATTGTTGCCTTTGTTTTGCATAACATGTGGAGAGATTAGACGGTATGTGACATCACCAGGTTCAAAGTGTGGTTAAGTGGTAGTAGATGAAGTATGTTTTAGGGATATATACTTTATATACTCAAGACATGTTTATTTAAGGAGCACAGGGACTGGCCTCCTGCTGGGACTCTGAGGAGCACAGGGACTGGCCTCCTGCTGGGACTCTGAGGAGCACAGGGACTGGCCTCCTGCTGGGACTCTGAGGAGCACAGGGACTGGCCTCCTGCTGGGACTCTGAGGAGCACAGGGACTGGCCTCCTGCTGGGACTCTGAGGAGCACAGGGACAGGCCTCCTGCTGGGACTCTGAGGAGCACAGGGACTGGCCTCCTGCTGGTGCCCAGAGTCAGGACTAAACACAAGGAGGCTGCGTTTCAGATTCATGAAGCTAAAATCTGGAACAGTCTTCCTGAAAACGTGAGACAGGCTTCTTCTCTCACATGTTCAAATACAGGTAAAAACAGTTTAACAACTGAAGGGTTTAATCTTCAGTCTTTTTGATGTTCTGTGATTATTTATGATTTAAGCACTTTGCGTTGCCTTGTGTATGAACTGTGCTATACAAATAACCTTGTTCCTCTGCGGACGTAAACTCCTTCTTCTTCTTTTACATCACATCATTCACTGCCTTTCCTCAGGTCGTGTTCCCATCGGGCTGTTCCCATCGGGCTGTTCCCATCGGGCTGTTCCCATCGGGCTGTTCCCATCGGGCTGTTCCATCACCTCCCTCCACTTCACATCAGAATCTTATGAGTGAACAAGTCTCTATGTACAGACTGCTCTCTGGGACCTGGACTCACACACACATACATACATACACACACGTACATACACACACGTACAAACACATGTGCATACACACGTACCACACATGCACACATACACAAATACAGACACAAACACATGCACACACAAACACATACACACACGCACACATGTACCAACACATGCACATACACACATAGTATACACATACAGACACACACGCACCTACACACACATACATACAACCAAAAATATGCACACACACACACGCACGTACACACAGACACAAACGCACACAAGAAATACTATCCTTAATCTTTGGCCTTTGATGTTAATGATACTGTTTACTTTAATGTATTAGAAGTAATCTTAGACAAAGCCTTATGTATGAAGGATGAATAATGCTCCCGCCTGCAACTCCCTGTGCTGCCACCAGAGGGAGGAGTCGACAAGTGAAAGTTACCAGCTGCAAATTGTGAAAACTAATCCAGGTGCTATTTAGGTTCTGTTCTTTTGTTTGTTCTTAATCTTATAACACCTGGTTCGTGTGGAGAAGCAAATTTACAAAACAAAACACAGCTTGAAATCAATGGGAACATCACAACCGGATGTGTGTGTTTTGAAAT